GCTGCTCACAACCGACACGTTCGTCACGGAGAACACCGAGTGGCTCCGCAGACTGAGAATCGACGAGGACGCCACATGCAACGCGGACGCGGTCGGACCGCCCGACGCCTCCAGCGACACGCCGTCAAGCACCACCGCGCTCGACAGCAGGTCCACGCCGCCGCCAACGTACACCGCCGACCCGCCCGCATGCAACGACCTCAGCACAGTGTTGCTCACACGCAGCTGCGTCTGCAACAGCGACATCGCGTGCAGCACAAGCGGCGACGCCACCGCGTCCGTCAGCCCGCTCAGTTGCGAGTAGCGCATCGGCCCCGCCGTCACAATCGTCGAGTCACGGACCGTCACGTTCGTGTGTGCCGGCAGGTTGTGCACAAACACAAGCGAGCAGTAGCTCCCGGACAGCCCGCTCACGCTCACCTCCAGGCTCCGGTCACGCGCCGGCTCGCCGCTGTAGCCCCGCACGTAGATCTGCGCACCGCCGTCGCACACGCAGTTCCTCAGTTCGATGCACAGCGCGCCGGGAAGCATCGCAGGCACGTCGAACACCGCAGCCACGCCGTTCGTCATGTGCACGCCGTCCATCAGCACCGTGTCCACGGCGCGGCCAACCGTGATGGCTCTGTCCACCGTGCCGCCCCGCAGTCGCAACACCACCGCATGCACAGCGGGCATCCACGCCGCCGCCGCAGTCAGCAACAATACGACGAGCAGCGCCGCACGCACAGCCGCAATGGCCATGCACAACACACGGTGCCGGCTGCGCGGACACGCACCCACCGCACACCACATCCACAAACCAATCAGATATCAATAGAGCTGTCGTGGTGTGTCGCACTCGCCCCGTCGACCGTAACTCCTGCTTCGCAGATCCATTTCTACAAATGGCAAATCAAGAGACACTATTCCGATAGATCGATATCCTACCACTACTAGTCCTAATACAGCGATTAATCCCTAACACCTTGAAACGATAGTTGTGCTGGTCAAGCCAAAATATCTCTATCTGCACAGTCAGAAAAGGAATAAAAGGCAGCAACAAAAGTAACCAAGCACAGTGGCACGCAGAGGCATCCGGTCACAGACAGTCCCCACCAAAGCACAACCACCGACAAAGAAAAGCGCAGACACAACCACGCCGTTAACACCATCGCCCTCCCACCGCCCATGCAGCCCCACACAACCACCATGCAGAGTGGCAGAATCCCAGCAAAAAAGGCACATGGCTATTGGCACCGCTTCTGCAACCAAATGGTTCTACCACAGAGCACTCTTGATGCCGCGAAAGACACACAAGAACCGAGACACACCCACGTGGCAGCGTTACAACCGGCGACCATCAAGCGCGTCAAAGAAAGAAATGGTGACACGGGAGAGGAGTGGAGGATTCGCCATTCGCCAGCAGTAAAGGCGTCGTTCTTCCTCGCGTGAGTCGGCATTGCACAGCAAGCAGCGGCACCATAAGCGCACAACACACACAAGAAGGAAGGATGAAGATGGGCGGTAACGGCACTCAGATACAGGGGACAAGGGTCCACACCGATTGTGCGGTCGGTTCCATCCCTCTCCCACTGGGACGCCACTCCACCGACGCCGTCGCTTGCCTCCTCCTTCACCAACACAACGAGGGAGAAGCACCCACACGCAACCGCCAGCACAGAGTACAAGAGGAGCAACCAACTACACTGCAATAACTATATCGTGTAACTGTCTAGTGTGTCTGCCTACGGTCACAAAAAAAGAAAGCATCTAAGAACACACACAACCACAGCAGGGCGCCAGAAAAAAACAAGCAGGATGACTGTTGAAACGCAACACTGCACGGCTGCCCACACCGTGGCAAGCCGCGGGAAATATGCTGGAAAGTAAGAAAATATAAATCCGTCTTCCATTACGCATTCACTCTAAAAAAAAAAAAAACAAGAAAAAACTGCACGCTGCTGCGTGACATCCAAATCGGTGCGCATGTCCCGCCTGCAGATAATGAAGAAATACGCTACACTCGTTACAGTCGTTTAAACCCTCGGTGCCCACACATTATTTATATTCCACTGGGACACTCGGCGTGGCCTTGTGCACCCCATTCCATTGTCTCTTAGCCGGCGCCATCGGCGTGGCACACAATGCCAAGAGCGCCCATGATCAATTAAAAAAGGGGGGAAAAAACACTGAGTAGATCCCGCCGTAATTGTCGGACCACAACGCGGGGGGAAATAAAAAAGCAACCAAACAAAAACCACGCGATGATGGCCCCGGGGGGAGCATGCTTCCACATGGAGGAAGGGACCTGCGCAGCGAAGGGGGTACAAAGTAAAATAAAATGGTTAGAACAAGGCGTCACAGAAAGTGGCAATTAATTTAAAAGAGTGCGTGGACAGACGCATATGTTCCCGCTGGAGGCAGGAAGTCCTCACCGCGATTTCTCAGTAAAGGGCTACAAAGGCGCAAAACCCCAGCAGCAGCAGCAGCAGCAACTGCGACACGCCCCCACGCATGGAGCCTTCGCTTTTCTTGACCAGTCTTGGTTCACCGACACTTAGTGGGCGGTTGTACAGAAAGACGTTCGTCACTGCCACATCGCTGCTGTTGATGTCTCCCTCGTCGCCCCCAATGTAGAAGCATGAGACTCCAGCCCTCGCGTCTCAAGTGTTGGTATCGTCTCCGGGCTCCCCACAATCTCACCATCCACGTACACGGAGCCCTTGTGGCCGTCCTGCAGCATGAGCGCCACCTGGTGTTCTTTCCCCGGCTCCCAAGTGGTGTTCGATGTCGTTTTCTTCCCAGCAAACACTGTCTCCCACGTTTTATCCATGCTGTACGACAGCCCAATGAAGTTCGTGCTGACGGGTGCATCCAGATTCGCACCCAGCAGTGGAGCGCTCCCCTTCGCAACCTGGTGGATGGTCACCGTCGCCACAAGAGTGAACCTGTGGTTCACAAAGCTGTACTGTCTGTTAGGTCCCCACCTGCTCATCGACCACATTGCCCTGGACCCAGGCCCCGTGAATTTGAAACCATTTTTGACCTTTGATGCTTTCGTCACGGATGCATTCACGCAACGGTAACCGTCGGTCCCCGTGTTACCACCGGACGACGTATCGGACAGGAATCCAACCAGACCGGCCGTGGGTGTGGACGACTTGGAGAAGGAATCCAGTCTCACCCAAGTACTGAGGACGGGCTTGATCGTCTTCAGCTCATCAGTCAGGCGGGCAAGGGATATGCCCCGGCGCGTTCCACAATACTCCCTCGTGAAAGGCGCAACGCACCATCTGAGTACAGTATGGTGCTGGAAAACGTCAGACTCACA